CAGAGCTAAAACCTTAAACTACACAATAAATAAATACAATACAATACAATACAATACAAAAAATACAATACAATAAAAAATACAATACAATACAATACAATACAATACAATACAATACATACAATACAATACAATACAATAAAATACAGGTTCAGTGTTGTGAAAAAAACTAAACTAAAGTGCATGTATTGACCATGTCCATGGGGGGTGATTTGGTTTGTGAGTGTGTGGTGTGTTATGTGGCGTTAAGCAGTCTGATGGCCCGGGGGAAGAAACTGTTCAGTAGTCTGGTTGTTCTGCACAAGATGCTGCAGAACCTCTTCCAGACGCCAGGGGGGAAAACAGTCCATGGTTGGGGTGGGTGGGGTCGGAGAGGATCTGGTGAGCGCGAGATAGGCAGCGCCTCTCTGCGATGTCCTTGATGCAGGGGAGCAGAGCCCCCGTGATCTTCTCCCCTGTCCTCACCACCCTCTGTAGAGACTTCCAGTCAGAGGCCCTGCAGCTCCCAGACCAGATGGAGATGTAGCTGGTCAGTTGGCTCTCGGTGGTCCCTCTGTAGAAGGTCTGAAGGATGGGGGGCGGGAGGGATGCTCTCTTCATCCGACGCAGGAAGTGCATGCGCTGCTGGCCCTTCTTCACCAGGGAGGAGATGTGGGGAGACCAGCTGAGGTTGTCGTTGATGTGCACCCCCAGGAACTTGGTGCTGCTGACGACCTCCACTGCTGAGTCGTTGATGAGGAGTGGTGTGTGGGTGGGTCTGGATTTCCTGAAGTCTACGATGCCTTGGTCTTGTTGACATTCAGGATCAGGTTGTTTCCTCTGCACCGGTCCACCAGATGCCGCACCTCCTCCCTATAGGCCGTCTCGTTGTTGTCCCGGATGAGGCCCACCACTGTGGTGTCGTCCGCGTACTTCAGGATGTGGTTGGATCTGAAGTGTGGACGGCAGTCGTGGGTCATCAGGGTGAACAGCAGGGGGCTCAGGACACAACCCTGAGGGGTGCCGGTGTTCAGGGTGATGACATCGGAGGTGTTGTTCTCCATTCTGACAGCCTGGGTTCTGTCAGTGAGGAAGTCCAGCAGCCAGTTGCAGAGGGGGGTGTTAATTCCTAAGGGGCCCAGTTTGCCCACCAGGTCTTGGGGGATGATGGTGTTGAACGCTGAGCTGAAGTCCAGGAACAGCATCCGCACGTGGGTGTTCTTCTCCTCCAGATGCTCCAGGCTCAGGTGGAGAGCAGTGGAGACTGCATCCTCAGCACTGCGCTTGGACTGGTATGCAAACTGGAAAGGGTCGTGTGATGGGGGGAGCGTGGAGATGATGTGGTCCTTAACAAGTCTTTCGAAGCACTTCATGATGGTGGATGTCAGTGCGACAGGCGGAAGTCGTTAAGGCATGTGATGGTGGTTGACTTCGGGACCGGAACGACAGTGGCAGACTTGAAGCACCGTGGGACGACAGCCTGGTCCAGAGACGTGTTGAAGATGTCGGTGAGCACGTGGGCCAGCTGGTCCGAGCATTCCTTGATTAGCAGACCTGGAATGTTGTCCGGACCTGCAGCTTTCCGCGCGTTGACCTTCCTCAGAACCTTCCGCACTGCTGATGTTTCTAGTCTGAGCGCCTGTTCATCGGGGAGTGGCGTCGCTTTCCTCGCAGGGTTGTTCAGCTCCTCAAATCTTCCGAAGAAGTTGTTGAGCTCGTTGAGGAAGCCAGTGTCGGTCTGGCAGGATGGGGGTTTGTAGTCTGTGATAGACTGGATGCCCTGCCACAGTTTCCTGGTGTTGTTGGAGTCTCCATAGCTTCTCTTCACTTTGTGCAACAATCTGTCCAGATTGATTATCTTCTTTCTTTCTCAGTCTCTGCACAACATCCACAGGATCCTCCATCTGGGGAAACATTTTGTAGTTTTTATTACTGTCATCTTTCCTCTCAGTCTGACGCCATCGCATCCTGAATCTCTCCTTAGCTCGTTATTTTCTTTCACTAACTGTCCATTAGCTGCCTCCAGTTTAGCCACCTTCTGTTTGCATTTCTTTAGCTGAGGGGTCAAACTCCAGACCTGGAGGTCGCAGGCTGCCCTGCAGCGTTTCAATGAGCCTCTGCTGCAGCACCTGGACAGAATAATGAGCTCATTAAGGTTCTGGAGAACCGATCCACAGCAGGAGGTCACGAAGCCGTTTCATTCCAAGGTTTTTACCTGTGGCTCATCTAAAACCTGCAGGACGGCCAGCGGCCCTAAGGCCTGGAGTTTGACCCTTGTGCTTTAGCTCCTCTGCATTCAGTTTCACAACCTTTGCTGTTAGCCATCAGAGTGCTAGCCAATGGTTTTGCTCTCAGATGTCTCCAAATTGCATCTCCATTCCAGTTACTTTCGTCTGCAGACTCAATATCGCCTCAAGAATAGTGCTGGATACTTGGGGCCAGGGCCGGCCCAAGGCATAGCTGAGGGGCCCCTGACAGTTTGCCCCTCAGTGAAGCTGATTTTATTTTTTAGGAATAATTTCTATGTCATTATAATAACAAAAACACACAATTTATGATGTGAAAACAAAGTGATTTGTTTTTCATCATTATTTTAAAAATAGAAATAAATCACTGCTGGGGCCCCCTGGTGTCTGTGGAAGGTACAGCAGGCTTTGCTGTAACATGAGCTGCAAAGCAAACAAAGCTCCATCAGAACAGTGTCTCAAACAAGGAGAAGAATAGAATCGAACAGAAAGAGCCAGATACGGTTTGTTTTAATGAGTCTTTATAATGTAAAGATAATAAAGCTGCTAACAGAAATGACCTTGACAACCCGGACCGGTCCAGTTCTGCAACATTGAAGCTGCGTCTTTGTGTGAAACTGAGTTTAAACGTCAATGAGTTGATTCTCCTGATGGATATTTCTGAGGTATTTTGGCTCAAACTGTTTGATCAGGTTTGATATGAATAATTAAAACTCATCAGATTCTATTGTCCAGCTAAATGTTGAGACGTCAGCCGCCGCCCTGCAGGCCAAGCTGCTCTCTGCTGCAGCTGATTGCTGTTTGCTGATGAGAAAAATCATTTGGAGGCTCAGAACCGACCCGGTACCGGTACCGGTCCACATTCCAGGGGAGAAAGACTCACCTGGTATAAATTAGATTTTAGCTATTGGAGCTGAAGAGAAATGAATTGAATGTGATGAATGTGTTCTGCAGCGATTGCAGTTTTCTGGCCGATTCCTGGTTCTGACCTTTGACCTGCTGATTTTGGCTCATATGAATTTATTGAGTCTGAAATGTTTCTGAATGTAGCAGCAAAGTCTCTGAGTTGCTAACAGTGAATATTAGCTGTAAACGTTGAGACTGGCCTGGTCTGTCAGTCCAACTGTCTCTGCACAAGGACAGAGATGATGGACATCATGATGGACATCAGATCAGCTTCACGTCAGTATCGGCCGATCACGATGCCCCAAAATGAAGGAAATCGGCTCCCAGAAATCAACTGGTCCATAAATCAGATGGTCAATAAATGTATCTATTATACATGTATGTAATGTAAACAGCCAGAGATGCAATCAGTTTATAGCAGGTGTTTAATCGATCTAATGATCAGACTGCTGGTTGCAGCCGGTCCACATTGTTAGCAGAACCAGAGGGCCGGCTCTGCTTGCTTCTCGCTGTTGCCTTCTGTTGGTTTGGTTTTCTTAGCCGTCAGTCGTTTCCTTGGAGTTGAGGAAACCGATTCATCATCACGGTGGTGTAGCAGCTCCGTCGGTCTCTGCCGCTGTTGTTTCTGGATTTTGAATTCTTTGGAAAGCTTCTAGGAATCCTTCATGAACCTTCAGGTGGAAACACAACGTTACTCAGTCAGAACCTTGGTTTCGTGCAGTGGTCAGTCCGCCATCTTGGTTCCTGCCCTGCATGGTGCTGACGGTTAGTGAGGCAACATGTGAGCTGTCTCTGACATTTCCTTCTCCAGTGGATCCGAATCACTATTAGAACCTATCGAACCACCGGTCTGATCCAGAACGCCGAACCGACTCACACTCTTCTTCTTCTGGCTGGGGTTGACCCGAACCCGAACCCTAACTTGAACCCTTCTGGAGGTCTGACCACCAGGCTGAGGTTAAAGTTCACTTTCTGATCTGGAGCAACTTCAATCCAAGCAGCTGCTAATGTAAATATTATTTATTATGTCCTGAATATGTATTTAACACTGTCTTGTTAAATGATTGTACAAATAAATATTTTGTTTAAAAATCTTTTAAACGAAATGGTGTATGGTGTATCACAAGCGACTTTAAGGTGCATACCGCCACCTACTGTACAGGAGTGTGTAGCAACATTACCTCTCTTAAACTCTATTTTTCAATTTTGTATTCTGTGAATAAATAAATAATTCTTTCCTTAATCTGTAAATATCCAGTGTAGCAGCTCCTCAGCCTCAGTCACAAAGTTCAGCATGAAACTAAAACATCTACAAATATTAGAATACAAAACATCAACTTACATCACAAACAGAACTAAACGAACCTCGCTGCTTTCAATGATTTCTTTGTGCCAAACATTTTGACAGTTCAAGTCATTCATTGATTCTACCTGCTGTTATAGGCCTGCAATCAGTTACTACAGAGCAGAGAGGAACAAAAAGCCAAAACATTACAAAGCGTAAATATTATGAAACAAAGAAAATATAAACCACCAATGATGCTAATCAAAACAGAAATCCTTAAACAATCTGAAACATTCTTAATTTAGAAAATTCACTGGGAATAATATCATTTAAATAGTTACAAAAATAAATGATTTAGGTAATTTATTGGAAATAAGTCACAATTCATAACATCCATTATGTTTCCTTCATTTCCCAACATTCCTGTAAGACTCCTTTTGTTTTACAATTCATCAGTTCATCAGTTCATCAATTCATCAGTTCATCTTCTACATTTTCTTTATTCATCATTATTTTTTTCCTTTAGCTCATTCGGGACTTTTATTGTGAAGGTCTACTGTCGTGTTTTCCGTTTTGTTTTGAAGGGGCGTCTGTTGGGTCACGTGGTCCCGGTGGTTCTGCCGCGGTGTCAGGAGCTGCAGCGGGTCGGGTTCTGCCGCCGAGGGAACCGCAGACGGTCCGCGGACCCAGAGCAGGTACCGTCCGATGACTGAACTGGACCAAACTGTTTGGCTGCTGTATGTGATAGCAGCTAGCAGCCGCTAACCCACTGAGTTCCATTATCGGACCGGGGGTCAGAACCGAACCCAGAACAGTTCTTCTCCTGCCGGATCAGAACTTTGAATAATCGGAACTGTGAAGGCTTCAGGCCGCTGTTATCCAGGACCATCTGGGTTTAACACGAGGTTCGGTTCCGTTAGTTGGACGAACCGAACCAGAACATTTCGGTTTAAATCCAACACCTGGAGCCGGGTCAGTACCGGCAGGTACTGTTTGGTTCGGCTGTCGGACTGTAGACACTCCGCTGAGTGACGTCACTGTTCCCTACAGGTGAGATACAGGTGAGCTGACTGACCTGAACTCCTGAGCTAAATGAACAGTTCATTTATTAGAAATATAATAAATGAACCGAACAGTCATTTATTACGTCAGACTGATTCTGTCAGGCTAACGGTTCCTTTGCTCCAATCTGATTCAGTGAAACTGAACTGTTCCTTTATTTTGGATTGAAACAGCTGTTTCTAAATGAATATATATTATAAAAACATAAATAAACTGACACTGACGTCATGAGATCTCAGATCATTAACTGAGCGCGTGATGCGTTCAGGGTTCTGCGGTAAACATTAACTACTTCAATGATGTCCCTGCTGCCTTCAGCTTGAGCTTAACCAGGGTGCGCTAACTTTAGCCCATAGGTCAGGGTGCGCTAACTTTAGCCCAGAGGTCAGGGTGCGCTAACTTAGCCATAGGTCAGGTCGGGTGCGCTAACAGAGGTCAGGGTGCGCTAACTTTAGCCCATAGGTCAGGGTGCGCTAACTTTAGCCCATAGGTCAGGGTGCGCTAACTTTAGCCCATAGGTCAAGGTGCGCTAACTTTAGCCCATAGGTCAGGGTGTGCTAACTTTAGCCCATAGGTCACGGTGCGCTAACTTTAGCCCATAGGTCAAGGTGCGCTAACTTTAGCCCATAGGTCAGGGTGCGCTAACTTTAGCCCATAGGTCAGGGTATGCTAACTTTAGCCCATAGGTCAGGGTGCGCTAACTTTAGCCCATAGGTCAGGGTGCGCTAAGTTTAGCCCAGAGGTCAGGGTGTGCTAAGTTTAGCCCAGAGGTCAGGGTGCGCTAACTTTAGCCCAGGTCAGGGTGCGCTAACTTTAGCCCAGAGGTCAGGGTGCGCTAACTTTAGCCCATAGGTCAGGGTGCGCTAACTTTAGCCCATAGGTCAGGGTGCGCTAACTTTAGCCCATAGGTCAGGGTGTGCTAAGTTTAGCCCAGAGGTCAGGGTGCACTAACTTTAGCCCAGAGGTCAGGGTGCGCTAACTTTAGCCCATAGGTCAGGGTGCGCTAACTTTAGCTCATAGGTCAGGGTATGCTAACTTTAGCCCAGAGGTCAGGGTGTGCTAACTTTAGCCCAGAGGTCAGGGTGCGCTAACTTTAGCCAGAGGTCAGGGTGTGCTAACTTTAGCCCAGAGGTCAGGGTGCTAACTTTAGCCCATAGGTCAGGGTATGCTAACTTTAGCCCATAGGTCAGGGTGTGCTAACTTTAGCCCAGAGGTCAGGGTGCTAACTTTAGCCCAGAGGTCAGGGTGCGCTAACTTTAGCCTGGTCAGCTCTCTCTCTCTCCCAGCAGGTGATGTGAGGCGATGCTCGCTCGCCCACCATGCCCAGTGTCACGCTGAGGTACTTCTGCTATGGCTGCCTCGTTACCTCGGCAACCTGGTCCGTCCTCCTCTACCTGTACTTCTTCCTGGGGGCGGAGCCTAGCAGGAACCCTGTGCCGCACCGCGCCCGGCCGATCGGAGCTGTGTCCGACCACAAGGGGGCGGAGCTGTCGCCGGAGGAGGGTGGGTGTCCGTGATGCATTCAGGGGAACACGAGGTGTGGCCGGGTTCTGAGAGGTTCTGGTTCTGCAGGGATGATCTACAACGAGGCGGACCAGGAGGTCCGAGACGCCGGCTACCAGCGCCACGCCTTTAACGTCCTGATCTCCAACCGGCTGGGCTTCCACCGCCCGCTGCCCGACACCCGCGACCCACGGTAGGTTCCGGTTTAGATCTGACCCGTTTCCGACCGGTCCTGGTTCTGACCTGGTTCCGGCCCGTTCCCAGGTGCCGTCAGAAGGCGTACCCTTCGGCGCTCCCGGCCGCCAGTATCGTGATCTGCTTCTTCAACGAGGCGCCGTCCGCCCTGCTCAGGACCGTCCACAGCGTTCTGGACCGAAGCCCCGCCCACCTGCTGCACGAGGTCATCCTAGTGGACGACCACACAGCGAGCTGGGTACCCACCGCCCGGTCCCGACCCGGCTCCGGCCCGGATCCGGCCCGGATCCCACCTGCTAAGGCTGCCTGTGTTCTGCTGCAGAAGAGCTGAAGGACGAGCTGGACCGGTACCTGAGGACGGAGCTACAGGGCAAGGTCCGATTGGTCCGGAACCAGCAGAGGGAGGGGCTGATCCGGGGACGAATGATCGGAGCCGCCCACGCCACAGGTAAGCCGAGCCCCGCCCCCTTTGGGTACAGCCTGGATGGTGCCACGCTAAGCCCCGCCCCTCGGTGCTCCAGGTGAGGTCCTGGTGTTCCTGGACAGCCACTGCGAGGTGAACGAGGCGTGGCTGCAGCCGCTGCTGGCGCCGGTGCAGGCGGACCGCCGTACCGTGGTCTGCCCCGTCATCGACATCGTCTCCGCCGACACGCTGGCGTATTTCGCCTCGCCCATCGTCCGCGGCGGCTTCAACTGGGGGCTGCACTTCAAGTGGGACCCGGTGCCGCCGGCCGAGCTCAGCGGGCCCGACGGCGCCGCCGGACCCTTCAGGTAACTCGGAACATGCGGCACCAGGTGACCTTCGGGTGTCCATGACCCCTGATCTCTCCCCGTGCCCCTAGGTCTCCCACCATGGCGGGGGGATTGTTCGCCATGGACAGGAAGTACTTCTTCGAGCTGGGCCAGTACGACGGTGGCATGGACATTTGGGGAGGAGAGAACCTGGAGATCTCCTTAGGGTGAGCGCTGAGTTTCACAGAGTGTCATTGAAGGCGCCGGCGCTGACGGCGGCGCTGTGGTTTCAGATCTGGATGTGCGGCGGCCAACTGCTGATCGTCCCGTGCTCCAGGGTGGGACACATCTTCAGGAAGCGGCGGCCGTACGGCTCACCTGGAGGACAGGATACCATGGCCCATAATTCCTTGCGGCTGGCGCATGTCTGGATGGATGACTTCAAGGTTCCTGGCCTCACTTCCTGTCCCTAACCTAACTTCCTGTCTTTTGACCTAACTTCCTGTCTTTGACCTCACTTCCTGTCTTTGACCTTACTTCCTGTCTGATCTCACTTCCTGTCCCTAACTCACTTCCTGTCCCTGACCTCACTTCCTGTCTGACTTCACTTCCTGTCTTTGACATCACTTCCTGTATTTGGCCTCACTTCCTGTCCCTGACCTCACTTCCTGTCTCTGACCTCACTTCCTGTCTCTGACCTCACTTCCTGTCTCTGACCTCACTTCCTCTGGCCCCTTCAGGAGCAGTACCTGGCGCTGCGACCTGAGCTGCGTAACCGTGATTACGGTGACATCAGCGAGCGTGGCGTTGAGGAAGCGGCTGCAGTGTCGCTCGTTCCGCTGGTATCTGGACGCCGTTTACCCCGAGATGCAGGCCGTCGCCAACGGCAACAAGCAGGCGCCTCCGTTGGTCCACAAAGGCCTGAGGCGGCCCAAAGTCCTGCAGCGCGGCCGGGTACCTGAACGCGCCGCGCGCGCCGCGACCTCCGACCCCGCCGCAGGCTCTCACCCTCTCTGTGTCTTTCAGCTGCGTAACCTAGCGACCGGACGCTGCCTGGTGGCGCAGGGGCGGGTCAGCCAGAAGGGCGGCGCCGTCGTCCTGAGGCCGTGTAACCACGGAGACCCGGAGCAGGTGAGAAAAGCGTTTAGGCGCCATCTGACCCCTTGACCTCTGTCAGTCACACATTGACCCTCTGACCTCTGCAGGACTGGTCGTACGACGAGGACGGGCAGCTGGTTCTGGCCGGCCTGCTGTGCCTGGACGTGTCGGAGGTCAGGACCTCTGACCTCCCGCGGCTCATGAAGTGTCACGGCTCAGGGGGGTCGCAGCAGTGGAGCCTGGGGGTGAGGTTCTGATGGTGGCGTCTCTGACCCGGTTCTGACCCGGCTAACCCGGTTCTGACCCGGCTCTGACCCGGTTCTCACCTGGTGCTGACCCGGCTCTGACCCAATTCTGACCCGGTTCTCACCTAGTGCTGACCCGGCTCTGACCCAATTCTGACCCGGTTCTCACCTAGTGCTGACCCGGCTCTGACCCAATTCTGACCCGGCTCTGACCCAATTCTGACCCGGTCTCACCTAGTGCTGACCCGGTTCTGACCCGGTTGTCACCTGGTGCTGACCCGGTTCTGACCCGTTTCTGACCCGGTTCTCACCTGGTGCTGACCCGGCTCTGACCCGGTTCTGACCCGGTTCTCACCTGGTGCTGACCCGGTTCTGACCCAATTCTGACCCGGCTCTGACCCGGTTCTGACCCGGTTCTGACCCGGTTCTCACCTGGTGCTGACCCGGTTCTGACCCGGTTCTCACCTGGTGCTGACCCGGCTCTGACCCGGTTCTCACCCGGTTCTGACCCGGTTCTCACCTGGTGCTGACCCGGTTCTGACCCAATTCTGACCCGGTTCTCACCTAGTGCTGACCCGGTTCTGACCCGGTTGTCACCTGGTGCTGACCCGGCTCTGACCCGGTTCTCACCTGGCTGACCCGGTTCTGACCCAATTCTGACCCGGTTCTCACCTGGTGCTGACCCGGTTCTGACCCGGTTCTCACCTGGTGCTGACCCGGTTCTGACCCGGGTCTCATCTGGTTCTGACCCGGCTCTAACCCGGTTCTGACCCGGCTCTGACCCGGTTCTGACCCGGTTCTGACCCGGTTCTCACCTGGTGCTGACCCGGTTCTGACCGGTTCTCACCTGGTGCTGACCCGGTTCTGACCCGGCTCTGACCCGGTTCTGACCCGGTTCTGACCCGGTCTCACCTGGTGCTGACCCGGCTCTGACCCGGCTCTGACCCGGTTCTCACCTGGTGCTGACCTGCTCTGACCCGGTTCTCACCTGGTGCTGACCCGGTTCTGACCCAATTCTGACCCGGCTCTGACCCGGTTCTGACCCGTTTCTGACCCGGTTCTCACCTAGTGCTGACCCGGTTCTGACCCAATTCTGACCCGGTTCTGACCCGGTTCTGACCCGGCTCTGACCCGGCTCTGACCCGGCTCTGACCCGGCTCTGACCCGGTTCTGACCCGGCTCTGACCCGGCTCTGACCCGGTTCTGACCCGGCTCTGACCCGGCTCTGACCCGGCTCTGACCCGGCTCTGACCCGGCTCTGACCCAGTTCTGACCCGGCTCTGACCCAATTCTGACCCGGTTCTGACCCGGCTCTGACCCGGCTCTGACCCGGTTCTGACCCGGTTCTGACCCGGTTCTCACCTGGTTCTGATCCGGTTCTGACCCGTTTCTGACCCGGTTCTCATCTGGTTCTGACCCGGCTCTGACCCGGCTCTGACCCGGTGCTGACCCGTTTCTGACCCGGTTTCTCACCTGGTGCTGACCCGGCTCTGACCTGGTGACCCGGTTCTGACCCGGTTCTCACCCGGTTCTGACCCGGTTCTCACCTGGCTCTGACCCGGTTCTGACCCGGTGCTGACCCGTTTCTGACCCGGTTCACCTGGTGCTGACCCGGCTCTGACCTGGTGCTGACCCGGTTCTGACCCGGTTCTCACCCGGTTCTGACCCGGTTCTCACCTGGCTCTGACCGGTTCTGACCCGGCTCTGACCCGGTTCTGACCCGGCTCTGACCCGGCTCTGACCCAATTCTGACCCGGTTCTGACCTGGTGCTGACCCGGCTCTGACCCGGCTCTGACCCGGCTCTGACCCGGCTGACCCGGTTCTGACCCGGCTCTAACCCGGTTCTGACCCGGTTCTGACCCGGTTCTGACCCGGTTCTGACCCGGTGACCCGGCTCTGACCCGGTTCTGACCCGGCTCTGACCCGGCTCTTTCTCCCCAGAAGGCCAACCGGCTCTACCAGGTCTCTGTGGGTCAGTGTCTCGCCGTTTCCCGTCCAGCCGGACCGAAGGGCTATGTTGCCATGGCGATCTGCGACGGCAGCGAGCTGCAGCAGTGGCAGCTGGAGGGCTGACGAACCGGCGGGTCCGGTGGGACAAGGTTCTGGTTCCGGTTCTGGTTTTTAACTGTAGTTTTTACTGAAGGAACATTCTGATCTTTGCTGCTTTTAATCTCTAATAAAAGGTTCTGAACGTCTCGCCATGTCTGTCCTTCAGAACCGCCCCGGGTTCTGATCCAGCTGTCAGATCGACTAGAACCTGCTGGTTCTGACTGGGTATCTGCTCAGACTCTTTGGGTCTGATTAGAACCCTGCTGTTCCTCTTATGGACCAGCAGAGGGCAACTCAATCTGAGTCAGTCTCCGTTTTCCCAAAGCCTGGTTCTGGTTCTCCTCCTGAGACCCGGTTCCTACAGCAGCCTGATTCCAGCTGAGGTTCTGATGGTTCTGTCCAGTGGAGCCGTGCGCCTTCAGAACCGCTCTGGCTCCGCCCCCTCAGTCAGCAGGTTAATGAGCCATCAGGCAGTCAGAGCAGCCGCCGTCTGATTGGACGTCGAGACTCGATCGATTCCCATTACAGACCCTAACCCTGGAGTAGGGTGGTGTGAGGGCGCCGTGTGGCGCCGTGTGGCTGATGCATTGTGGGAACCATTTTCCTGACATGTCGTTTCATTTCCTTGGTCCTATGAGGGGAAACTGTTTTGGGTTCAGTTCAGAATAAAGGCAGGGATTGAGGTTCAGCTGCAGAAATGAATGGAAGTCAATGGAAAGTCCCCACAAACTGTGTGTGTGTGTGTGTGTGTGCGGGTGTGTGGGTGTGTGTGTGTGTGTGTGTGTGTGGGGGTGGTGGTGTGTGTGGTGTGTGTGTGCGGGTCTGTGTGTGTGTGTGTGTGGGTGTGTGTGTGTGTGCGTGGGTGTGTGTGTGTGTGCGGGTCTGTGTGTGTGTGTGTGTGTGGGTGGGTGGTGTGTGTGCGTGGGTGTGTGTGTGTGTGTGTGGGTGTGTGTGTGGGTGTGTGTGTGTGTGGGTCTGTGTGTGTGTGGGTGTGTGTGTGTGTGGGTCTGTGTGTGTGTGGGTGTGTGTGTGTGTGTGGGTGTGTGTGTGTGCGTGGGTGTGTGTGTGTGTGTGTGGGTCTGTGTGTGTGTGCGGGTCTGTGTGTGTGGGGGTGTGTGTGGGTGGGTGGTGTGTGTGTGTGGGTGTGTGTGTGGGTCTGTGTGTGTGGGTGTGTGTGTGTGCGTGGGTGTGTGTGTGTGTGTGTGTGCGGGTCTGTGTGTGAGTGCGGGTGTGTGTGTGTGTCTGTGGGTGTGTGTGTGTGCGGGTCTGTCTGTGTGTGTGGGTGGGTGTGTGTGTGTGGGTGTGTGTGTGGGGTGTGTGTGTGTGTGGGTGGGTGGTGTGTGCGTGGGTGTGTGTGGGTCTGTGTGTGTGGGTGGTGTGTGTGCGTGGGTGTGTGTGTGGGTGGGTGGTGTGTGTGTGTGGGTGTGTGTGTGTGTGGGTCTGTGTGTGTGTGGGTGTGTGTGTGTGTGGGTCTGTGTGTGTGTGTGTGCGTGGGTGTGTGTGTGTGTGTGTGGGTCTGTGTGTGTGTGTGTGTGTGTGTGGGTGTGTGTGTGGGTGGGTGGTGTGTGTGTGTGGGTGTGTTGAGTATTTCTTAAAAAGAACAAAGCAAAGGTCTTCTGGTCAACAATAAACTGTCCAACATAAGAGGAATAACAATTTCTAATTCATAACGAGGGTTAGGGACATTTGTCACCTGAAGCTGAACATCTGGAGCTTCATGTAAAACACACACACAAAACTGCGGCCCCATATTTTACACAGAAGTCAGCATATAAAATGAACCTGAAGTGAAAATGTTCAGCAAGTTTTTCTGTGGACAAAACCAAACTACAAACATCAAAACTCACATAAACCCACTGAAACCTGAAGACCTCTCTTTATTCCTCCGTCCTGGACCAATCAGAGAGCTGGAAGTAGACTGGACCGGGTCACCTGAACTTACCCATCACCCCACTAGACCTGATGGTTCTGGATGGGTCTGTGGTTCTGCAGCCTGGAGCTTCATCCTCCTCCTCTTCCTCTCAGGTTTCCTTTAATTACTTTAAGAGTGCGCGTGCGCGGCGGATCGATCCGCTCAGGAAGTGTTGCTGCAGACATCAGAGGAGCCGCTCCGCCAACGATCGGATGCAGCAGCCAATCAGCAAACAGCAGGGGGATGCGGGGCGGCCAGCTGAGGCTGGGATCGATGCGGGAGGAGGAGACACCGCAGAGCCTCAGCTCCTCTTCCTCCTCTTCCTCAGCTCGGCTCAGAGCGGAGGAGCCACGCGGAGCAGGACGCCGAGCCGCGGGCTTTTATTCTGAAAAACTCAACAAAACATGCTGCTGCTACTGCTGGGCGTCGTCATGGTAAAGGCAGGGTCAGGGGTCAGCGCGCGCGGGTGGTGAGCGGTGAGTTACAAACCGACCTTCATCACCTCATCATCTTCATCACACCTGGCTGCAGCGTAGCAGGTCAGAACCGGGCCAGAACCGCTCAGAGGTTCTGGTTCATCTGGTTACAGAACCTCAGTAACCAGCTGGTTCCGCTCAATCAGAACCGGTTCTGGATGAGAATCTGAGCTGCAGGACGATCCGCAGACTCAGCAGATCCAGCGAGGTTCTGGTTCCGGTTCCGCCTCCGTCACAGAGACGAACGGTTCTGAAACCCAGAACTGCTGAAGAGAAGAGAAAGTGATGATGAGGCAGGAGAAGAAATCAGAGAGAGAGGAAGAGGAGACACACACACACACACACACACACACACTGATACACACACACACACACACTGATACACACTGATACACACACTGATACACACACACTGATACACACACACACACACACTGATACACACTGACACACACTGATACACACTGACACACACTGATACACTGACACACACACACTGATACACACTGACACACACTGATACACACTGATACACTGATACACTGATACACACTGACACACACTGATACACACACACTGATACACACTGACACACACTGACACACACTGACACACACTGATACACACTGATACACACTGATACACACAGATACACACTGATACACACACACACTGATACACACTGATACACACAGATACACACTGATACACACACACACTGATACACACTGACACACACACACACTGATACACACTGACACACACTGATACACACACACACTGACACACTGATACACACTGACACACACTGATACACACACTGATACACACTGATACACACACACACACTGATACACACTGATACACACTGATACACACACACACACTGATACACACACTGATACACACTGATACACACACACACTGATACACACACTGACACACACTGATACACACTGACACACACACACTGACACACACTGATACACACACACTGATACACACACACACACTGATACACACTGACACTGCTTGTGTTTCTGCCTTTGCATCTCTATGCTATTGTTTTCTATGCTATGCTATTGTTTTCTATGCTATGCTATTGTTTTCTATGCTATGCTATTGTTTTCTATGCTATGCTATTGTTTTCTACGCTATGCTATTGTTTTCTACGCTATGCTATTCTGTTTTATTTCATTCTCCAGCTAAACTCCGGAGTTTTTGGCTCCATGTTTCTCAGCTCCAGTCCTCAGAGTTCACTGAAGGGTTAGAACTGCGAAACCGTCTGACCCCTGACCCTAAATAAGGGTATCTGCCATATCAGGACGAGCTTTGGGCCCCAAAAGGCCCATCGGTTGGGGTTTGGGTCACAGACACTCACCCTGCTCTCCACCTGCAGCTCTGACTGGCAGCTTTGTGGGCGGGGCTTGTCTGCAGGCCAGACGGTGTGTGTGGGCGGAGCCGACCGTCCCTGCTACAAGATGGCGTATTTCCACGACGTGTCGAGCCGCGTGGCGTTCGGTGAGGCGAAGCAAGCCTGCCTCATGGACGGGGGGGCGCTGCTGAGCGTGGAGAGCCAATCAGAGCAGAGCGACGTGGAGCATCTGCTGCAGGTGAGACGAACACCTGCAGCTGTCAGGTGTGAAGGCGCTTTGGAAATAAGACCCACTGAGCCGTCCCTCCTCCAGGCGCTGCGTTTAGGAGCAGTGGGCGGAACCAAAGGTGGAGGCGGGATTTCTGACGGGGATTTCTGGATCGGCCTGACGCGGGGGGGCGGAGCCAACCACACCTTGACCCCGTGCCCTGACCTGTACCAGTGGACCGATGGCAGCGTGGCCACCTTCAGGTGAGACTTTCTTCTCCCACCTGGACGGTTTCCAAAATGCTATTGCCGGTACCCATAGTGACCCCGCTCCAGGAACTGGTACCTGGACGAGCCGTCGTGCGGCGGCGAGGCCTGCGTCGTCATGTACCACCAGCCCAGCGCGCCCGCAGGTCTGGGTGGGGCTTATCTCCACCAATGGAACGACGACCGCTGCAACATGAAGCACAACTTCATCTGCAAGTATCAGCCAGGTGAGACCGGCCAGGTGTGTGGGCGGGGCTACCTGCAGCTGTCTAACCTGGGCTTCTCTTTGCCTCAGCTGTGACTGCAGGCGGAGGTGTGGTGACCCAGGCGGATGGCGGTGGCAGCTTACCACCTCAGGTGGTTGTGGCAGGATCTTCATCTTCAGGTACGATCACTTGTGGCCTCTGCCCTCCTGTGATGTCACGGTGACATCACGCTGTGTTCAGGAATCCTGTTGCTGTACGTGGTGATCCCCACCATCCCGCTGCTGCTGCTCATCCTGGTGGCTTCAGGGACCTGCTGCCTCCAGACGCTCAGCAGGAGGTAGGACTACATCTCCCAGCATGCCTGGCTATTAGACACACTTCCTCCAGAACCGTGGCCTGTTCCTTTAAGGGAGCCATATAGATGGATTCCTGCTCCAACACACCTGGACCACGGAATGCCTCAGGATGAGTTGCTGCTGTAGAGGGTTAGCCTAACATTAGCCTGGTCAGTGTTAGCTTGGTCCACATTAGCCTGGTCAGTGTTAGCTTCGTCCCTGTTAGCTAGGTCCAGATTAGTCTGGTCAGTGTTAACTTGGTCCAGTTAGCCTGGTCAGTGTTAGCTTGGTCCAGTTAGCCTGGTCAGTGTTAGCTTGGTCCACATTAGCCTGGTCAGTGTTAGCTTGTTCCACATTAGCCTGGTCAGTGTTAGCTTGTTCCACATTAGCCTGGTCAGTGTTAGCTTGTTCCACATTAGCCTGGTCCGTGTTAGCTTGGTCCACATTAGCCTGGTCAGTGTTAGCTAGGTCAGTGTTAGCTAGGTCCACATTAGTCTGGTCAGTGTTAGCTTGGTCCAGTTAGCCTGGTCAGTGTTAGCTTGGTCCACATTAGCCTGGTCAGTGTTAGCTTGTTCCACATTAGCCTGGTCAGTGTTAGCTTGTTCCACATTAGCCTGGTCAGTGTTAGCTTGTTCCACATTAGCCTGGTCCGTGTTAGCTTGGTCCACATTAGCCTGGTCAGTGTTAGCTAGGTCAGTGTTAGCTAGGTCCACATTAGTCTGGTCAGTGTTAGCTTGGTCCAGTTAGCCTGGTCAGTGTTAGCTTGGTCCACATTAGCCTGGTCAGTGTTAGCTAGGTCCACATTAGTCTGGTCAGTGTTAGCTTCGTCCCTGTTAGCTAGGTCCAGATTAGTTTGGTCAGTGTTAGCTTGGTCCCACATTAGCCTGGTCAATGTTAGCTTGGTCCAGTTAGCCTGGTCAGTGTTAGCTTGTTCCACATTAGCCTGGTCCATGTTAGCTAGGTCCACATTAGTCTGGTCAGTGTTAGCTTGGTCCACATTAGCCTGGTAGGTGTTAGCTTCGTCAGTGTTAGCTTGGTCCAGTTAGCCTGGTCAGTGTTAGCTTGGTCCAGTTAGCCTGGTCTGGGTTTTAAAGACACAGTTATTAATAAAAATTTTTGACATATTTCGATTATTAGAACTTGTTTTGTCCCGATTGATCTGGACACAGCAGTGATTGGTTGAGGTTTGCCATGACGATATATAGCTGTCGTCAATGTTACAGGAAGCTGATCCTGACGACTCCACATAGCTGCAACGTGTAAATTAAAAAGTAAAAACAAATGCTTGGGGATGCTGTAGTTAGCATCATGGATCTGGAAGCAACATTTATCAATTACTGATCAGAATGCTCAAATCAATAAAAATAGATTTGGTGCTGCTCTCTGCCTTCCCATTTTATTTTGAAAATCTTGGTGTAACCTCTGCGATTGGTCACTGAGCACCAGCAATGTCATCCTGTCTCTCCAGTCGTCCTCGGACCAAGACCCCTGCCGACCAATCAAACCTCTGGATTGCCACGACGCCCAAACCCGACACCATGGAAGTGTGACGTCACTGTGACTCGACAGCAGATCAGTGATGTCACGTTTTAATTTGTTACTTTGGCTGAAACTGTTTCCTGTTTGGCTCCTCCCTCCTCCTGTGTCCCTAAGCCCGAGTTAATTAAGGGGGTGGAGTCAGTGATGTCACAGTGAGTGGGTGGGGCTTGTCTGTGTAACATGTTCTGTTGTGAGAAGCTCTGGTGCCCCCTGCTGGACAGACAAGATGAAGTACGGGGCAAGCAGAGGGACAAACTCTGGTTACTGATGCTGCGTTCGAGGACAGTCCGATGTTTGGACGGCAGGGAGCTGCTGCTGCGTTTCTGATGCATGAAGCTTTGATGTTTAATAAAAGATGTTTCATCAGCTGCTGCTTGGTCTCTTTGAGTCAGCCTAGTCAAAGTCCCGACCCGACTCCAGCAGAGCATCTGCGAAACATCAGCAGAGTTCTGTCCGGCAAAGGTCAAAGGTGACTCAGTAGAACTGTCCGGGTCAGATCAGAAATAAAAACTCAGCGCCGACTCAATGACCTGTCCCCCATGACTTTCTCTCAGAGGCCCTTCCTGTCTGAAGACTGTCAAAATAAAGGCCTCCTTTAAAAAATAAAACCACCCAACATCAGAAGAAGGTTTTATTTAAACGACCCGAGAGCCAGCAGAACCACGGAGATCCGAATAGAAATCCAACAAAACAATGTTCTGGCAGAAAGAAAACAGAAATAATCACTGAGGCAGAACCCGACCGGAACCAGAACCGCCAGTACCTCAGCATGACGAAGCAGCTGATGCTTCCTGATTGGTTGATCTGAGCAGCGACGCTTCAATCTGTGGTTAATCACTCCCAGTGGCCATGGAGACACTCAAACCCCAAGTTACCGTGCCAACCACAGTTGTTACGGTGTCCAAGGACAGCAGGTTGTGCAGAGAGCAGCGTCTGGTCAGGTGGCGTCCAGCTGCTCCTCATCATCACCAGCCCCGCCCACATGGTCCGCGCTGGCCCCGCCCACATGGTCCAGCAGCTCCTCCTGCTTGTAGCTCAGCACATCGTCCTCGTCTTGGAACAGGATGGGCGGAGCCTCGCCAGCCTTGCCCATGCCATGCATGCGCCTCTGGTGCTGCTGCAGGTTGCCCGGCGATTGAAGCGGGCGGGGCAGAGGTCACAGGCGAACGGCCGCTCCCCGGTGTGGATGATGATGTGCCTGGCGAGCTGTGAGCGACACTTCTTGTCTTTGCCGCAGATGTGGCAGATGAAGCTCTGTGGCGGGCGCGCCCCGTCGGCGTGCACCGCCTGCCGGTGCCTCTTCAGGTGGCTGAGGCGGCGGAAGCTGCGGCTGCAGAAGTCGCAGGCGAACGGCCGCACGTCGCTGTGGACCAGAGCGTGGCTGGCCAGCAGCGAGCGGAACCGGAACGCCTTCCCGCAGACGGTGCAGGAGAAGGAGCTGGGCGAAGCGCCGCGCCGCCTGGAGCCACGTGGCGCCTCGCCCGCCGCCGCCCTGAGGTGCACTCGCAGGTGGTGCTGCCGCAGGTAGCCGGCGCGCTGGAAGCCACGCAGGCAGACGCTGCAGTGATGCAGGTTGTCGCCCACATGAATGCGAGTGTGTTCGGTCAGCTGCGTCTCAGACTTCAGCCGCCTGCCACAGACGCCGCAGGTGAACGCCGCGCCTGGCGCCTCGTCCGGCGGCGGCCCGGCCTCCATAGCGGCACGGCTGGGGTGCAGCAGCGCCTTGTGGCGCTTTAGCTGGTACTGACGGGCGAACTTGCGGCCGCAGATGTCGCAGAGGTGCGGGCGCTCGCCGGTGTGAGTCTGGAAGTGGATGGCGAGCTGCGAGCGGCACTTGAACTCCTTACCACAGAGATGGCAGAGCAGTGAGGCGGGGCGGGCCGGCGGGCCGGCGCCGGAGCTGTGCACCGTTCCTGTGGTGCTGCAGGTCATTGCTGCGCATGTAGGCCTTGGGGCAGAGGTCGCAGCGGAACGGCTTGACGCCAGAGTGGATGGCTTCGTGAGTCTTTAGCCGTGACCGGCAGACGAACGTCTTCCCGCAGACGGCGCACAGCCAGGCCGGCGCCAACGACCGGCGCTGGCGCCGCGCCGCGCCGTCCGGGTGCAGCCGGCTCAGGTGGTGGCGCAGGTTGTCGCGGCGGTTGAAGCGCAGCGGGCAGAGGTGGCAGGCGAACGGCTTCTTCCCTGTGTGGATGAAGGAGTGGCGCGCCAGGCTGGACTTGTTCTTCATCACCTTCCCACACACGTCACACACCGAGCTGTCCAGCTCCTGCTGCAGGCCGGGTCCAGAGTCCGGTCTGGGTCCAGAGTCCGGTCTGGGTCCAGAGTCCGGTCTGGGTCCAGAGTCCGGTCTGGGTCCAGAGTCCGGTCCGGGCTCTGACACAGCCAGAGGCCGGTCTGAGGGGACACAGAGGAGAGCATGGGTCAGATCTGAAATGGAGCTTCACCAAGCAGGTTCTGGTTCTGATCTCACCTCCCCTCGGGGTCCAGGTGGGGTCACCGATGTCTTTGTCCTCCACCCCCACCTCCTCCTCCTGCTCGTCCTTCTGGGGTCAGGTGACCGGCGGCGCGGCCGGCCTGGTCTCCCGTTGCATCTGGCTCTCTGCGGAACCGGTCTCTTCCTGGTTCTGGTGTCAGTGGGCTCATCAGAGAGTTTGGCTGCAGGTCTGATGATCCTGGTTCTGGTCCGATTCGGGACGCAGTGCTGCAGCAGCGCACCGCCGTCTGACCCGTCGGGTCGGACTGTCAGACACTGCAGCAGGTCGTCAGACGAACCTGCTGGGACAAACCGGGTTAAACTGGGCCCTGGGTTCTGACTGACAGGCTGCAGTCAAGACTCCAGGGAATAATTAAGAAGCAAACGTCTCTGCTGCCTCCTTGTGTGAGAAACACATCACTACACCTGGAAATGGAAATCTCTGGAGAACCGGTTCTTGTTTAGTTCAATTGTTTAATTTGGGGGTGAAATGATTCCTTGAATGATTTGAGTACTTCAATTACTAAAATTTCTCAAGGAAAACATATCTGCCTGGAAGCTTCCTTAATTTATATTTTATCATTGAGCTGGCCGGGTCGTCGCTCGGCCGGGTCGTCGCCGGGTCGTTACTTGCGTTGCTCTCACTTCCGCCTGAGTTGTTGATGAAAGCTAGCAGCAAAAGGTCCAATTTCCAGATTCAGCCTGGAGGATTTTATCGATTCATGATAATATCCGGGTCCAATAACATCCTTAAAATGACGGGAGCGATAAGTGGAGTATGGCAGCTTTCCTCTGGTTCAGAGCGACCAGCGCGGCGGATTATTAATACAGGTGAGCAGACAGACTGAACCTTTAGAGGATTAAGTTAAGTGTAACTTTACAGACGAACCAGAAAATACACTTCATATCTTGGGTGGTTTTACATACGTTTCTGTGTGACGAACGCAGGAGTTAAATGAACATGAAGCTATAAATGTCTGGGCAAGACGAGAGTTGATCTATTAAACTGACTGAAGATGAATACAGAAACCAAAAGCTGGAACATAGACCGTTTTTATGAGCCTGCCTCTTTATTACTGAACTGAATATGATTTCAGATTCTTGTAGAACTTTTCTTCAGGTTAACTGATAGAGTGATCTGTTATTGTTACATGTTAATGAGAAAACTTGCGTTACCCAAAGCACAATAACACGGTTTTACCGTAGAAACGCAGTTAAACAGTTTAACCGCGTTTCTACCGTTTTGCTTCAGGTATTGTTGTTTGGGTTTGGGAAGCAGAGCTTCATTGTCTCCAGTCAGACTCATCATTTTCCAACCAACCATGAGATGAAGGAATCTAACACACCCAGTTGGATCAGGTCCTCAGCCTGCAGAAGTGCAAACTACTTGTGCAGGTGAGGCAGGAGAAAAGCAGGAAGGAGAGAGAGGTTGTGTCTCACCTGAGTGTCTCCAGCTGAAGTTCTGACCCAGCAGGTTCTGGGTCTGACCCAGCAGGTCCACCTGGACGGCCGCCTCCCTGGTCTCGGTTCTGCAGCTCTGGCAGCCCACCTCCTTCCTCGTCTGCTCCTCTTCCTCGGGTCTCTCCCACTGGCAGCCCACCTCCCGGCTTCCTGCCTGCCTCAGCAGCAGGATGCACAGCTCCTCTCCTCCAGCAGGGGGCTCCATGGCTGCTGCAGGAATGTACAGCAGAACCAGAACCACGTCAGAATCAGAACCACTGGGCAGACAGCAGGACCATGAGGAGATCTCATAGACATACAGCCTGATCCAGATAACACAGCTACAGGCTGAAGTCAGAACCGACCCAGACTGCTTTCCAACTGGACCCGACAGCAGCACCACCAGAACCCCAGGACGTTCTGGTAACCACCGGAACTTCCTGTAACCATAGGGACGGAGGGAAGGCGCTCCACTGACAGAGCTGGACCGGAACCAGATCCGAACCGACCCTTCCCTGGTTCTATCGCAGTCAGTAGGGTTCTGGGTCGATCGCCGGGTTCTACAAACCCTTCCGGGAGGACAGCCCGGTTCCTCAGAACCACAACCTGCAGGCTCAGGTTCGGTTCCGGTTCGTTCTAAGGGAACCTCTAGTTTGACCGAACCTGCGAAGGATGACCGGTTAGCTCGAAGCTAACTCACCAGGTAAGCTCACCTGACGGACGCGAGGCCATCTCCGCAGGGTTCACTGTGACGTCACACCCGGACTATTAAGATTAAAGTCCGAACTCCATGTTCTGTTCAACACCGGCCCTGAGGAAACCAACCGAATCAGAACCACAACAGGCCACGCCGGGAAGTCTGCTGCTGCTGCTCTTCTTCTGCTGACCGCTTCCTGCTCGCTGCTGCCCCCGCGGCCGCGACGGGAACTACAAGCTTATTCTATACCTATTACATTGTTAGAAAGTTTTTTTTTAAAATCAATTTAAATGTGAAAAAAAAATCTCTTCCACGCCCATCCATTGTCCAACACGCTTTTCCTGCAGGGTCGCTGGATTCCACACTGGGCCTGGAAAATTTACTGTGATGATTATTGTGATTATTAAACAGAGAAACTTCTCTTGGTTATAGAAGAGGTGGCCACCTACTCTGGCTCTCTACTGCTCTTCTGGGAGGGAGAAGATTGGTTGGCATCGTCAGTTAAATCTGTAGTTGTTGCTCTGCGTTCTGCAGTGAACCGATTATGACAAACATCTGCAGTGGATTTCTGCCCTCATTCAATGTTAACATGAATAGGGTTAGGGTTAGGGGTTAAGGGTTAGGGGTTAGGGTTAGGACCTGGCTGCTCCTCCAATGGCCGTCAAAGCAGGAAGCCAGCGTAACCATGGTGACGACCTGGAAGCATCAGGTAGAAACCAAAGTTCACCGGTCCCCAATGAATCCATTTGAATGAAGTTGTGTCTGCAACTGGTACCAGAACCGGTACCAGAGATGGTTCCTGATGAAGAATAATGAAGAGGTTAAGTGGCCTAGTCAAAGGAAAACTGGTAATTTCTGTGTATTTCATGGAGAACCAGGTTAGTTTTATAAAAGTGATGGAAAGCAGGTGGCAGCCCACCTGAACTGGACCGGACCAGTGAACAATTAGAAACTGATGTTGAAATGACATGAACATTCTGGAGAACCAGAACCGGTCCGGTCCGGCATGTGTGGCCCGAACATCAGAGACTTCAGGTGGTGTGTTCAGTTTTATTGGAATCATACAACATAAATAAAAGCTTTCATTACAGTGATGTTCTTCTCAGCACCAGAACCGAGCCTTAACTGGGTCCGGTCTCGACCGGGTCAGAGTCAGAACCATTTGACTGGACCGCCGGCGCCGCTGCGGTTCTGATTCCGGAACAGGAAGATCTTCTGATTGTCAGCTTCTGTGCTTCACAAGAACGACGACAGCAAAGGAATAAATACTCCCTATGTACACTATTCACACGGACCGGGCCCACCCGGACCGGGCCCACCAGGACCGGGCCCACCAGGACCGGGCCCACCAGGACCGGGCCCACCAGGACCGGGCCCACCCGGACCGGGCCCACCAGGACCGGGCCCACCAGGACCGGGCCCACCAGGACCGGCCCACCAGGACCGGGCCCACCAGGACCGGGCCCACCAGGACCGGGCCCACCAGGACCGGGCCCACCCGGACCGGGCCCACCAGGACCGGGCCCACCAGGACCGGGCCCACCAGGACCGGGCCCACCAGGACGGGCCCACCAGGACCGGGCCCACCAGGACCGGGCCCACCAGGACCGGGCCCACCAGGACCGGGCACCAGGACCGGGCCAAGGTCCACAATGAGGCCCGGTCCGGTCCAGTTAGTTTCAGCGATACAAAACACCAAGGAAGAAGACAGAAGATGAACACTGACCCCTGGTGTTTTCCAGGGTGAACTACGCTACTGCAACAGGCCGTTGTCATGGAAACCTGGGAGCTTAAATGCCCCATGATGCCGAGCTCCTGACCAGCCGACATCAATAACTGATCAGATATTGGGTTAGGTTAAATTGGTTTAGACCAGTTTGGTATGATCTGAATTAAACCGGTTTAGAACCAGTGTGATCTGGATTAAACCGGTTTAGAACCAGTGTGATCTGGATTAAACCGGTTTAGAACCAGTGTGATCTGGATTAAACCAGTTTAGAACCAGTGTGATCTGGATTAAACCGGTTTAGAACCAGTGTGATCTGGATTAACCGGTTTAGAACCAGTGTGATCTGGATTAAACCGGTTTAGAACCAGTGTGATCTGGATTAAACCGGTTTAGAACCAGTGTGATCTGGATTAAGCCGGTTTAGAACCAGTGTGATCTGGATTAAACCAGTTTAGAACCAGTGTGATCTGGATTAAGCCGGTTTAGAACCAGTGTGATCTGGATTAAGCCGGTTTAGAACCAGTGTGATCTGGATTAAACCGGTTTAGAACCAGTGTCTGGATTAAGCCGGTTTAGAACCAGTGTGATCTGGATTAAACCAGTTTAGAACCAGTGTGATCTGGATTAAGCCGGTTTAGAACCAGTGTGATCTGGATTAAACCGGTTTAGAACCAGTGTGATCTGGATTAAACCAGTTTAGAACCAGTGTGATCTGGATTAAACCAGTTTAGAACCAGTGTGATCTGGATTAAACCGGTTTAGAACCAGTGTGATCTGGATTAAACCGGTTTAGAACCAGTGTAATCTGGATTAAGCCGGTTTAGAACCAGTGTGATCTGGATTAAACCGGTTTAATGCCTGATGATCCAGGTTACATCGTGTAAACATGTTTGACCACATCACAATCTGAAGATCTTTTAATGGTTTCCATAGCAACCAGAGGTTCTGTTCACCAGTCTGAGGTCCGGCACCTGAACAGAACCAAAACCAGCAGAACCCAAGATCCTGCGCTCCGGTCCGATCACAGAGCCTCATAGACTGACCGTCTCTGTCTGAATGGACGGTGCTCCACATGGCTCACAGCTGGGCCCCCAGCAGAGGACTGGTCCGGCGGTCTGCAGGAAGACCGCCAAGAACCAGAATAAGGTCTTTGGATGTGTGAGGATGGCTGGAGTTCTGGAGGAACCATTTCCAACATGCATGTCTCTTTGGAATTCCATAAATAACAGAAGCAGATTTGGGTTGGGTCGGGTTAGGGTCAGCGCTGGTGCAGTTCTGCTGTCAACCAAGATGGCAGCAGAACCGATGAAAGCAGGACTGGTTCTGCTGAGTCATGGTTCTGATTCCTCCGAGTCAAGGTGTCCCAGTGTGGGACGCTGTCCAGCTGCCGTCCAGGAAGACCCGGTAAGGAGGAACCGGACCTGGGCAGGATGAGGTCATCACAGGTGGGCGGAGCTTCAGTCCGGGTCTCTGCCAGGTTACGACACAAGAAAAACCAACAAGACGACAAAAGAGGACAGTCAGGGTGTCCGTCCAACCAGGCAGGACACACCTTCCTCCTCCTCTTCCTCCTGCAGCACGAGGAAGAGGAGGAGGTGATGAAGGGCGAGGCGGCCCCCTAAGCTAAGCAGAGTTCAGGAACTCCAGAGCCACTTCATAGCAGAACTTATATTGTTCCTATGGAGACACAACATATAACTAATAAATATAAAATAATTAAAAAATTCGAATAATATAACATAAAGCACAGAATGTATAAAAAAGCCCCACAAAGTATTAAAAGAAACAACGACATTAATGACCTTTTAATAATAAATAATGCTAATAATTTTGAGAATAATGATAAAATAATGAAGTTTCTCAGCCTCACCAGCAGGTCCACCATGTTGGTTTTGTTGTTTTTCTGAGCGTCTTGACGGCGTGGAAAACGTCCACAGAGCGCTGCTGCCTCAGCATCTCACACACGATGCTGACGCTGCAGAAGACGCCGCTGCGCCCGCCGCCGTTCCTGAGGGACACATGGAAGACATGGGGACACATGAGGGGACATGCTCAGAGAAAAAGCATCTGCTCCTCCTCTATTTCACCACCAGATGGAGACAAAACATCACTGAAGACAGAGGAGACCAGCAACGGTTCTGCTGGACGAACCACCGGTACCTCCACCGGTACCGCCACCGGTACCGCCACGGTACCGCACCTGTCTTCCTCAGGACGCCTGCTGTGGTTCCAGAAGGACTCAAGATGTTTTGGAGTTTGGATCAAAAATATCGGCGCAGCTTCAGCAGCAAAGCCGTTAACACATGGAGTACCGTGTAGTACTGCGTAGTACAGTGTAGTACTGCGTAGTACCGTGTAGTACTGCGTAGTACCGTGTAGTACTGCGTAGTACAGTGTAGTACTGCGTAGTACCGTGTAGTACTGCGTAGTACCCTGTAGTACTGCGTAGTACCCTGTAGTACTGCGTAGTACCGTGTAGTACTGCGTAGTACCGTGTAGTACCGTGTAGTACTGCGTAGTACCGTGTGTACCGTGTAGTACTGCGTAGTACCCTGTAGTACTGCGTAGTACCCTGTAGTACTGCGTAGTACCCTGTAGTACTGCGTAGTACCGTGTAGTACTGCGTAGTACCCTGTAGTACTGCGTAGTACCCTGTATACTGCGTAGTACCCTGTAGTACTGCGTAGTACCGTGTAGTACTGCGTAGTACCGTGTAGTACTGCGTAGTACCGTGTAGTACCGTGTAGTACTGCGTAGTACAGTGTAGTACTGCGTAGTACCGTGTAGTACTGCGTAGTACCCTGTAGTACTGCGTAGTACCCTGTAGTACTGCGTAGTACCGTGTAGTACTGCGTAGTACCCTGTAGTACTGCGTAGTACCGTGTAGTACTGCGTAGTACCCTGTAGTACTGCGTAGTACCGTGTAGTACTGCGTAGTACCCTGTAGTACTGCGTAGTACCTTGTAGTACTGCGTAGTACCCTGTAGTACTGCGTAGTACCCTGTAGTACTGCGTAGTACCCTGTAGTACTGCGTAGTACAGTGTAGTACTGCGTAGTACAGTGTAGTACTGCGTAGTACCCTGTAGTACTGCGTAGTACCCTGTAGTACTGCGTAGTACCCTGTAGTACTGCGTAGTACAGTGTAGTACTGCGTAGTACCCTGTAGTACTGCGTAGTACAGTGTAGTACTGCGTAGTACCCTGTAGTACTGCGTAGTACCGTGTAGTACTGCGTAGTACCGTGTAGTACTGCGTAGTACCCTGTAGTACTGCGTAGTACAGTGTAGTACTGCGTAGTACCCTGTAGTACTGCGTAGTACCCTGTAGTACTGCGTAGTACAGTGTAGTACTGCGTAGTACCCTGTAGTACTGCGTAGTACCCTGTAGTACTGCGTAGTACCGTGTAGTACTGCGTAGTACCCTGTAGTACTGCGTAGTACAGTGTAGTACTGCGTAGTACCGTGTAGTACTGCGTAGTACCCTGTAGTACTGCGTAGTACCCTGTAGTACTGCGTAGTACAGTGTAGTACTGCGTAGTACAGTGTAGTACTGCGTAGTACCCTGTAGTACTGCGTAGTACCCTGTAGTACTGCGTAGTACCCTGTAGTACT